TTTAGGAGTTTAGGGTTTAGGGAAAGCCATGCAGCTAGGTTGCGCATCAAAGTACTTCTCGTCGAGCCCACGAGGGAAACCATTTCCGGTCAAGTAGTTGTGGGTAACATCTGCACCGTACATCACGAACTCATACCTGCATCCCGCATTCCCCCTCTCACTTGAGTGCAGCTGCAGCTGCTGGACTCATGTCTGAAACCAGGTCCGAAAATCGACACAGGAACAAAACCCTTTACAAGCGACACATGAGCAAGCATTTACCAACTGCACTGCCAGACTTACAGGTAGATGCTCTGCGCTGAAATCGTGTAAATTTTGTGCCTGCTCGGTTCGTGTGCTCATGTGCCTGAAAGCTCGTCAGGCTTCGATGGTTGCGACATCCCCATCATCACCGTGCACTGGCCCTGCACCGCTGCATTAGGCCGCAGCCTCACAACCGGCCAGGCAGAGACACCTTGTGCTAGCCCGGGCTGTGTTTGCAGGGCTTGTCCAGAAATCACCATGCACGACCCGTAGGATCACTGGTGTCAACGACTGGTGCGGCTGTTGCCCTGCAACGCAGCATCAGTCGGGCAGTCGCATCGAAGGATCGATTGGCGCGGCAAAAGGAGGAACAAACCCGTAGGCCTTTCGTCAGGATCCCTCGGTGAACAACATGAGTGAATTGGTGCGTGGGGGAGTGAGTCGACGAGGCGTGGAGGGAGGAGGCCCATCGAGGCATCAAGCTCAACGAGAAGGAAGGCGGGCAAAGGAGCAAATGCCCAGAGGAATCTGTTGGTAGGTCCCTTTAAACCTGCCAAGAGAATGGGAAGCAGATGCTGCTCGTAACTCATGCATGTGAGCCTTTTGCGGACGCATAGATTGGCATAGATGCAGCAATCAGGCCTGCCGTAGATATTGCGGATCTCTGTGACGGCTCGGCTGGCCACCAGAGCCTTTGCAAACAGGGCCAAGCCCCAATGAGTACGCAATGTGCGTGTGAAAGAGAGACAATGTTCAAGATCCTTCTTTCTCATGACAACGATACGCCTGCATTTGCTTGATCAAGTAAATCTGCAAGAACACCACCTCAGTTGAGGCATCTGATATCCGTTGGCACGCGTCTCCAGTCATTCGCTGATCAACGTTTAACTGAAAACAGCCCTACGTGGAGGTTTCCCGGCCGAGCCACGAATGCCATCAGCAGGAAGCTGCTGGCCAAGCGTGCACACCGGAGGATGAAATCGCCCTGGCAAGAGAGCGCAGATCTGGTTGGTGCCCAAAAACCACTTTGCCACCACGCGACGACTTCATGAATATATTTTTCCAGCCAAAACCGGCAGAGTCTGGCAGTCTGTGCACTTGCCGTTGACAGGCACCGACGCACCCTGGGAGTTTCCTTTCCGTGCCCTTTTGCCCTGCCTTGCCATCGATCATGCTGTAAGAGTCACGCACCAAGGCGGCAATCCCGGCACCATAGACGTCCTCTCAGGCTCTACAGTAGGCAGTAGGCAGCAAGGAAGTTCAGGTTAAGGGCCAGCAGAAGCTTGTGGGCATGTGTGCATCTGAGCGAATGTGCGAGCGTGCGCCGAAGCCCAAAGAAAACGCTGAATCGTATCAGTGAGTACGCACCTCGTCGAAGATTCTAATATCATTCTTCACTGATGTATGTATGCACAATACAACGATGATACCTTTCAGTCCCGCAATGTCCTGCATGTCCGGGATTTGTATCAGTCTTATGCAGCAATACTTCGATAGACCTTAACTAGTATTGACAGCTTTGCAGTAGTCGGGCATGTCTACACATAACATACAACTTCACTTTGTCCTCATCAAGGCCTTCTGGCTCGCGGTCAACAACCTCAAGAGTGTGACGACGCCTGTCTAGACCGTCCCAGGCAAACGAGCCATCGCCAGTGCACCTCAAGGTCTCCTCCGTCCTCGCCACTTCGTGCCTGCCTCGCCTCACAAAGACTTGCAGTTCGAAGGTTTCAAGCATCGTGTGCTCGGGTTCAAAGTGTTGCTGGGCCGGAGCCACAGAACCACACTTTGGACGCAAATGCTCTCAGATGTTGCAGACCGTCTCCCACACCGACTTAATTCGGGGGTGTGTAACCCCCCGACAGAATCTATCCCCACATGCCAGTTTGGGGGAGGGGGGCGTTTCAGTCCAAAAAAATACAATGGGTTCCGGGTGGGTTTAAGACCCCCTCATTTAAGGTCTGCGGTAGGCAGGGTTATAGCCTATCATGTTTGCTGTCACATGTCGTTTGTGCATCAGATCCTCAAGCTGCAGACTCGAAGTCCGATTTCTGCTTTCGAATGCATGGCCCGGGCCTGGACAGCATGCCCCTCGGTTCGTGATTGCTTCAATCGGCTTTAAAACGCTGTATCCTAGAAGATGCACAAAAGGCTGGCTGCCCGCTACGTTCTACGAGCCGGCATCCGATTCATTTGTTCCCGCCAGCCTCGTCCTTAGATCAGGGCGTCCACTATCGCTTTGCAGTGTTTACATTTTGAAGCATACTGAAACAAACGATACACTGCTTTAGAGTAGGCAGATAGAGTCATAAAGAATAGAACATGCGGCGTGCCAGGGCGTGGCCTTGGGTTGGGACCTTCGGGGTCTTGGGTTTAGGGCCTGTTTAGGGTTTAGGGTTAGTTTTGCCTGGATTTGCATGCCGAATGGGTGCACGGCATTGCGCAGCCATCAAGAACCGGCTTCGGACAGAGAGTCTGCTACCCGCCTCGAAGTGACGCAGGAAGACGACGAAGGCCAGCGCCACAAAAGCCTGAGCAAAAGAAGACTTTATTCAACTTTATTCCTTCATTCCGAATTGGAGCAAACACGAACCCTCAACATGGGGGCCAGACAGAGCCGGGTGCGATGACGAAGAGCACGTATTCCTGGAGAAGCTCTCTGAACGAGCCGCGCTGCGGCAGCGAAACTTTGCCGCGCCTGTGCACCAAACCACGGCTTCGGCGGTAAAGCCTCTTCAGATCTTGGCAGCTTCAGCAGCTGCAAACCCGTTCGAAGCACAGTGCACCTGCGGCCCTGAATCTGGAGTCGGTGGAGCAGGCTCTGCTACCTCCCTGCGCAGAGATTGCACGTCAAGGGCACCCTCACCTTGTGAAAAACTGGGAGATGTCACGTCCCAGCCTGGTGAGCTTGCTGCTGCGGTCCAGAAAGCCGAGATGTCCATCAGCTTCCGGCAGAACTGCGTGGGGCTTTAGACACTTTGCTTTCATGACCCTGCAAGGACATGGGAAAGCCGCTGCCTGCAGCGAGCGCAAGCAAGGCCAAGAAGGGCTTCCTTTGCGCGATCCGGAGATGGTAACCCCCTTTATAGTCAAGTTTGTAACAACCCCTCAGGGTCACCCTTAATTGTCACCTACAGTAACCCCTAATAATAAGGCCCTTTATAGAGGTACTCATGACGTGCATTGCTGTTCCTGGAAGGCCACGTTTACGCCTCCTTCTAGGCCTCAGAAGCTCGGAGCGGCACATTCGTGGAGACCACCCGGAGTATCCCGGTCCAGATCTACGATCGATGGGCCGGAATACTGCTGAAAACGAGCACTGCCTTCGAACTACAACTGACAACTCCTCGGATGCCCGTTGCACCCCCATGTCTTCCGATTGAAGGCGTGCGCAGCATAGCACGTCAAGGCATGCCATCTAAGCCGGCCGACATGTCGGCAATGACTCTTTTGCTCACAGAAACTTGCGGAGCTCTCTATGTCTGTCAGAACAGCTCAGCAGTTGTGAAGTCAGTAGCCACGGCATGAGCCCCACCTTTGTCCGTAGAGAAATCCAGCACATGCTGCGGCAATGGCATTCGAAACGCCTAACTAAAGACCTGCTCATTTTACGTCAAGAGTGTGTCCCCATCATTCCAATGAACATCCCAAACATGCAAAACGAGCCCAGTGCCTGGACGGGCGGTTCCTGCCGGAGTGACACACTCAAGACAAGGAATGAATCCCATGATCTCGCGCCCAAGACATCATCATCCGTAAGCACAGACATCCCATTTTTGGAGGGAGGACCTAGTTTTCATTATTAACCATCCTGTACGAAAATCCTACTCTATTCGCTGCATCGAAATGCTTTTGACTGTCATTGGGATGCGGTGGAGCCTCAAAGTACGACGCGCATGACGCTTCAAACTCATCGAACCCGCGGAAAGCTTTGTGCAGTCTGACGTTTTGCATCTTCTGATGAACAAGCAAAGAACACCTCAGCAGGACCATTGGGTAGGGAACATCCCGGAAATGCGTGTCAACACCCGGATGCTTTGCATTGACGAGATTGGAACAGGTGCATTCTCACAGCCCCTTTCCCTTTCCCCGGGCTCCACGGATTTCCGCAGCTCCAACCGCAGCACATTGCGAAAAAGTTAATAAACCAAAGTTAACTAAAGTCAAGCTCCCACCTCTCGCCAGTCCCGTCTGCATCTGATTGTCCGAATCGTAATTATCAGTCGGAACGTGCCAGTGGTGGTCGGGAACTCGTCGCAAGGTCCTACGCTGTTGGTGCTGCGGATCGAGATCTGAACATGTCAGATGACAGATCATAGAGACTGCTATAAGAGTGAAAGAGGGAGAGCCTACTGTCAAAGACAGATGG